CAGGGACAGCAACCTGATCGAAATTGCAACACATCGGTCACCACGTCTTCCAACGAGGATATCGTGGAGGCCATTCGGCTCGAAGATATCGCAATGAAGCAAGAACCTGAAGATGAAAAAGATTTCTATTTAGAGGCGGCTGAATTGCCATCTCTATCACCTTCGACTAATCGTCATGCAGGTGCTACACATCGTGTTCGTTCCCATACACGTAGCCTTCGTGCGATGACAAATCCAAGCGCAGTTTGGGCGCATTTTGATTTATGTGCAAATGATCCTTTGCGAGCTCAATGTCGAATTTGCGGTGCGGTTGTTGTTAGAGGCGGAGCGAATCCACGTCAATGCGGTACAACGAATCTTCATCGACATCTTAGAGTACATCACGGTGGCAGACTCATTGGCAGTCATTATCACGGTAATGGTAGTTGATTATTGAAGATATTTTATATGCTGGAAAAGTGACTTAACAATTATTTAAAGGGTATTAACAAATACTATTACATAAAGTAATAGTAATTTACATAAAATATACATAAGTTATTATTATATAAAATAAAATTAGGTTTTATATTTGTACTTTTTTTTATAAATTAATATTGAAATCTATAATTAAAGTATTTTTCATTTTTTTAAATATTAAATAGTTGCAATATGCAAATATACAAATTTTTAAAATATTTTGACATCTTCTGGAGAATCATTTTAATAGATAAAAAAAAAAATAAATATTGTCTTTTTATAAAAAAAAATAAATTATTTGTCTTTTTATAAAATATATTATGTCTATTTATGATTATAATAATAAAAATAGTTTTTTTTCAGTATTACAATCACCTTCTTCAAGTAATTCAACTGGCAAAACTATAAGAATAGCAGCACAGTCCTTGGTAAGATCTCATATTAGAAACATTGCACCAGCACCTATATCACAGCAGCAACAACAGCAACGTCAACCAAAGACTCTTGTATTAAAAACAATCCCCTTAAAAGTAAAGCAAGTTGCACCTACAACCATTAAAATGCCACCACGACAAACTAGTCAAGGAGTACCTCATAATATTGTACATCAACAACCTACAGAGGTAATGAGGTTTTAAATAATGAAATATATATAATATTTCTATATAAATTTTATAACAGTTAAAATATACAATATATGTTTCTTAGGTTTGTTTGAGATGGAACAGTTATCATAGTAACATGCAAAACAGTTTTCCATCTTTATTGGATTCTGAACAGTTTGTTGATGTTACATTGGCTTGCGAAGGCCGTTCGTTAAAGTGTCATAAAATGATATTGTCATCCTGTAGCGATTATCTCGCAGATTTATTACGAGAAAATCCATGTCAACATCCAATTATTTTAATGAAAGATCTTAAATTTTGGGAAGTTGAAGCACTAGTCAAATTCATGTATCGCGGAGAAGTGAACGTAGCTCATGATAAACTGCCCCAACTATTGAATGCAGCCGAGGCATTACAAGTGAAAGGATTAGCTGGACCCAATCCTTCTTCACAGGTGAATAATGACTTTTTTATTTTTTAAATGAATATAATTCTGTTAATTAAATTTTTATAAAATATATTTTTTTTAATAGAATTCAAAACCACCTTTACTTATTCCACAATCAAAGCCAATAGTATCTCAACCAGTTTCGCGAATCGCTTCAGAGACCAAAGAGAAAGCTTCCACTTCCGGAGTTTCTACGCTTTCTAGTCCTAAACGTATGCAAAAACGACAACATTCAGAACCAATTGAACCAAAACCCTTTACTAAAATACGTTTACAACGACCTGTTACACCTACATCACCGACTACTACTGTTAAACTTGAACCTTTAGATATTCCTCTTAGTCCTACAGAGATATTTCCTGAAAATAATGAAGACAGTTCAACTCCGTCGAACTTTGACAAACTTATGAGTTTACATGAAGAAGATGATCCAGGTGGTAATGAAGCTATTGATGGTGAAAGAGAAATTAATTTCTGTGAGATACCTGAACCGCCCGATATAAATGATAGCGAAGATCAAATGGAATTCGTACCTACGGACTTTTTAGAACAGGAACAAGATATAGTCGAAGAAACTGAAATAGCCACGAACAAAGATTGCAAAGAAGAAACTAGAGAAGATAGTTCTGTTGAACTTGAAATCGGCGAAGGAAATGGAGTGAAAAAAGAACAATGTTCAAAAGAAAAAAAACCAGTTTAGTAAGATGATCAGTGAATTCAGTACTTGGTTTGTTTAATGAAATAAGATCTATGTTTGATTTTTTTTAAATAGATTTTTAGAATTATCCAGTATTGTCATGAGATCTTTATTCTCCATTGAACATTGATTTCGATTATTTTCTTTTTTTTTCAGAATTAATACAAAAAAGAATAATGTATATATTATTTTTATGATAATGTTTTACAAAATTTATCATTATAATAGATTAATTTGAAAATTCTATTTTATTTATATTTGATCAATTAAAACATAGTATGAAGTTGTATAATGATATGTCATTTATTCAGAGTAATATGGCAAATATTTCATCTACATTGTAAATAGAACGTAAACGATAAAAAAGTAAAACTATTTTTACCACTTATTATATGAATCGTAATGACTACGATATATATCGGATATCTTTCGAATATTTTCTCCAAGTACACGGTTCAAAACTGATATTTCTATACAAAAAATAATGCCAGAAGATATGATTGAAGTAAAGATTACTAATTAATTGTATATAGTTACAAAAGTACCTATAACTAATTTTAGTTTAATCATATAATTAAAAATTTGAGTTTGACATTGACGTTTAATTATTATAACGTCTTTAATTATTATATCTTTAATTATTACAATTTATTTGTTAAAAAAAACTCGATCTACACTTTTATATTATAATCTTGTAATTTGCAGATTAACTTCAATAATCAAGTAGAAGTTGATCAATCATTTTAAATAATGCAATTTTTACTTTGAATCATTGTTGAAAATTTACAGATTACCTTTCTATTTCTATTACAAATATGCTAACAACATATAAAGAATGTTGCTTCTTTAATGAAAAGTTGTACCTGTTAACTTGAAAAGTGTTTGCAGTATAATCTAATGAAGAAACAGTACAACAAATAAATGTTTTTTTGTGTTTTATTTTTTTTTTTTGTTTATTCTATTCTTTTATTATATATATTGTATGTATGCATTATTTGAAATGGTATGTCTGATTTTACTAATAAATTAATAAAAAATCAATGCATTTATAATATATTAATCATAAAAAAATTAATATTATATCAAATTGCAAAATTAATAAATTGATAACTGAATGTTATATTTTTTATTACATTGTAATCTTTTTCTTAGATTTTTAAAGATTATTATGTATATTTTTTCCAAAAAAATTATTATACCTGTATGTAAGCGTTATGTAAAAGTAACATTCTACGTATATGGTATATATTACATAGAAACTAGAGGCAAAATTTTATTGTAAAAATCTATATATGATTGGAAAGTATATGTACATTGTAACATGTGAAATTATGTCTTATAAATAAATTGCTATAATAGTACATAGCAAAATAATTTGTATTATTTTTTTTTTCTCTAAAAAATTTTTAATATTAATAAATATTTAATTATATATTATGAATTATAATAATATAATAAAAATGTTTTTTTTCTAATTTTGCTTATGATCTTTTTGTTATTATTTGTTGCATGTATTATTATATTATTATATGTATATAACATATATAAGAGAAATTAAAAATCATCATAATAAATAATAAAAGACATCATAACAATTATAATAAAAGACATATTTTAAATATATATTATTTCTAAAATAAAATATGAATATTAGAGATATTAAATTTCTTTTATATTTATAGGGATATAAAAATTTTTTTACGTTTATCGTTTCTCTATTATAAATATTGAAATTTTTGTTTTTAAATTATATTACTGAGACTGTAACAATATAGTTATATAATATTATAATTTTAAATATTGAAGCTCCAATCTCCAATAAAAAATATATTTATATATATTTGTTTTTAAAGTTTTAAATTTTTTAGCTATAATGTGTATATATACTTTGTTATAATATTTCTAAAGTGATTTTACAAAGTAATTGATTCTATTTTATTTATTTATAAAATAATTTCAATTACATACTGATTAATATTTATGTAACAAATATTCCAGGGATTACAGTATCGATATTAGTGTTTCGATGTAAATTGAATTTTTACATTCATACTCTAATAGATTTTACGATATTTATATAAAAAAATATACATTTTAATTTATCATATACAATGAAAATCATCTTATTCTATATAATAATTAATCTTTTTTGAGTTATATCAATATTAAAATTGTTATATTAGGATTGCTGATTTGATCCCAAAGTAGGTCGCAACTCACAACCACGATGGCGCCACGTTATCTTTACCCCTCCCCTTACCGAACTGTCAAATCGAGGAACGTTGTTTGTATACGAAATTTTTATCAGTTTTCAGCCTCAAGTACAATCCGGGGACTTCGAACAAGTGAATAAGATCAGGTTCGTACTTGTGCCTATTTTCACAATGAATTACATCAATATTATTTTATGGAATCCTTCGATTATCGCAGATAAACGAAAATGTTAAAAGCTCGATGTGACCGGCGCTGCTACCACCTTTCTGTCAATTTCTTCTTGTCTCTTTCTCATACATTTTTCTTGATAATTCCTGTTATTCAATTCTTGTTGTTCAATACAATTAAAAAAATTATTTCTTTTGTCATCTTGTATAAGATAAAAATATTAATGAAAATTCTTCATTGAATGCAATTTTGTTATAAATTGTGTGTTATTGGTCTTGCTTTATTTCTCTTAACCTATCTAAAAAGATAATTATTTAACTTAACTACTAATTGTTTAATTTTAACTTTTTAAATAAAATTTGATGTCAAATTTGACAAATTTAATATGCTATGTAATAAATTGAAATTGATTGATAAGCTTGTTAGAACTTACAATTTTTATTTAATATAATAATTATTTACAATTATTTTTTGTAAAATTTTTTTTAATAAAATTATTATTTTTATTTTATTTTTTTTGCTACATAAATTTTATGATAAAATTTTCATATTAGGATAAAACTGATTTTGTTTAATACAATAGCAATATTTTATGATATTTAATTATTTTTATCATATTAATATTATCAGGCATTTTCAAGAATATTTATATATTATTTTCATAAAATTATTAAATAAAATTTTTATTTTAATAAAATAAAATAATATTATTTTAAAAAAAATCATATTTATTAATAAACTAATTATTTTAAAAAATATAAATTTACATAAAATAGAAAAGCAACAGATTGGATCTATACTTATGTTTTTAATAGATGACTTTTAAATATAAAATATAAAAAATATATTTAATAGATTATTATAAATTTTTTAGAATGAATCGTACAATGGATGAAAAAGAAGAATTAGTTAAAAAATCTTTATTTAGTTTTGTGAGGAAAGAAGTACCCACTGCCCAATTAAGGTAAAAAAAAAAGAAAAATAAAAATGTTTTTTTGTCTATAACTTGAAAATTTACATGAAATCTATACATATTTAATGTATGCTTGTAATTTATAAAGATATTATTTCTAGTTTAATAGATGATATTGTTTTGAGTTATGTGGTAAGTATGGTAGAAGAAAGTGCACTTGAGGAAGATTTGGATGTTGATGGATTATGTGAAATGGTCTCTGCTTGCCTTCCTGAGTTTTCTACCATTGAAAAAGAAGCAGTATCTAAATGGTTGTTAGATATTGAAAGCAAATTACGGCAAGAAACTAAAGAAAATGAAAATTGCCAACCTCAGGATCCTTTGAGTCATATTAGTTTAACAGCTTTGTTACCTCCTGGTACACAAAGAATGAGAGTTCATCATCTCTCAGAAACAAGTGATGCTGGAAGTGATTCTAGTGGAGAATATTTTTCAGAAGTAAGCTCTTTTTAATTTTTTCATAAATTAAATGTATGATATTTTTTTATTTTATTAAATCAATTGCATCATGATTATTTATTTTTGTCATAATTTAAAATGTGAAAAATTTAAATATTGAAATTTAAATTTTGAAAAATTTAGTTATGTGTAAAAATTTTTTATATTATTTATTTTCAAATAATACTATTTTACAACTTTATAAACTAATATTAGAATGAAATTTAGCATCAAAAAAGTTGATATGATTGTTTTTAGTTGTCTTATTCTTTTCTACTTATATAACAAATTTTATTTATTAGTATATATATATTAATTTTAAAATATCAATATATCATATTAGGAATCATCTTGGCATCAAGTAGCACTTCTGCAAGAAATGTTTCCAGCTGCAAGTCCAGCAGAAGCTAGACATTGCTTAGCAGTTGCAGGTGGTGATATAGCAAAAGCAGCACAGCTTGCACTTCATAGACAAGAAGCAGGACAAAGTCTTGTTAGCAATCTTACTTTCCTAACAGTAAGTATCGTTTTGAATTTATTTCTAAAGTATATATATATATCTATATATTTCTTTTTTTAATTAAAAAATATATCATATGTCTTATATGATATTAAATAACTTACTCTTAATTTAAAATATTGAATGCATATGCATATTTTATATTACTAAAGCAATTATGTATTAAATGAAATAAAATAGTGTAATTATATTCTGTAGCCAAACGGTCGTAACAAGGCCAGAGTAAATGACGAGGAATTGAAATCACGTATCATCGCACGATATAGTTACGTTGATAGAGATGATGATTCACGTGAGCATCGCCCAGTCGCCCCGAAAACGGAACCAAAAAAATTAGTACGTTATTTAGATAACAAGATTGTAAGTGTGAAAGGTGAACGTTATACTGAAGTAAGAAGAGGTGGTGAAGAGGAAGATGGGAATGAAGGTGGTAGAAAAAGAGGTCATTGCCGACCGTAACCAGTCCCTTTGCCTCCACCCCCTGATCCACCCCCTTGGAGGCATCTAATTTCAAATTAAAGCTTTCACTTACATTCTCTTATATTGCTTAAAAAAGAGTACGGATAGGGCGTTGAATTTCTATATTTGTAGCACTATCCATTTTGTTCCTGCTTTCAGTTGACTTTCTCACAATCATCTTTCGCAATCATTTTTATCAATTTTAGAACCACCTTTTTTGTCCTTTTATGTGTGATATTATCCTTATTGTGATCTGACGCAAGAGATTTGTAGCATTTTAAAA